TAGAGTTTCATATATTCTTTTTTTTTTTTTTGGTACCAGGGATCGAACTCAGGTCCTTACGCTTGCGCAGCAGGAGGAGAAACCACTGAGCTAAATCCCCGGACCTAGAAATTCATATATTCTTTAAACATGTATATGTTTTTTGTCTGTGATAAATGGAGCCTTCAAAAGCACAGGCCAAAAGGAAAGGCACTTCTTGCCTCATTCCAGCTAACCTAGTCAGAGTCTGGTATAGAGACAAAAGACAAACAAATTGCCTGGGCTCTTAACTTGTTACTCATTAAAAGCATGATCTGTATTTTCTGCTGAGATATACAAGGACTCTTCACTTATGCCTATAGATGCCCAATAGATAAACATAGAACAAAGCTTGACCTTCATTTTATAAAACTCTGGGTCAGTTCTGCGTATAGGCATATTAGTCATTTAGGGAAGATCTCCCTGAAAGTTGGCAAAACAAGGCTTATTAAATTGACCTAGCTTATCATACTATCCCACAAGACTGAGAACACCAGGATAAGAGCTACACCCAGAAATCAGTATCCTAAATCTATGGTCGCCTCCCATGACTGAATTGCCCCTCAAGTCATGAGAACTCTTCTGGAGCTGAGAAACCAAGACTGAGATATTGTGTGACTGGATCCCAGCCCATTAGTGCTCCATAAAACTGGCCCTGGGGGTCCTTTACTTGCAGTCACTCTGATTCACTTGCTCTGAGTCATTCTGCTGACCTTTGCCCTGTTCAGTTTCTCAAACTGAAGACCTTTTCCTATGTTCTGTTATTGTCTTTTGTCTGGGTAACCCCTCCCCCCTTCATTTCCTCTTACCTTCTAATTAAAGCTTTGCCCGTAAGTTCATACCCTTATTTCAATATTAGTTTCCGTTATTACAAGGAACTTTGCTAGCCAGTGACATAAGGATGGTATTCATATCTTTTATAAAGATATAGTATTTTATTATTAACAAAATAACAAATTGTTAAGTAAAATAATTATAATTATAAGCCTGGGCAAGTTCAGGCTATTTTCATGGAGTAGAAATACAATCTCTGAAATTGAATATCATGTGAAACTCTGTTGTTGGAAAAACTCTATATTAGGCCAGTTCTGCTACTGAAGCATCTCTGCTGTGTGTAGCCTCAGGACAAAAGTACAAGTGGACCCTTGACTTATGAACTCAGTTCATTTGTGAGGGCTGGCTGTAACTCAAGTTGGTTCCAAGTCAAGACTATTTTTCCCTTAAGAAATAATGGAAATACCTATGATACATTCCAAAGCTCCCAAAAAAGCACCTTTTAACTAGGAACACCTTCCAGCTCACTTGGTTCCAACCTTTTCAGAACTAAAAACTGCTCTAAGGTTGTCTGTTTCTGTATTTTTAAACACTGTTCTGTAGTACAACATGACATTGTCATTAAGCAAGTGAATGCAACCATTGGCTGTTTCTGTCTGGGTGGATCTTCTCTGCAAATATTTGTAGCTCTGTACATTTTTTCAGGATTTACCTTATTTCAAAAGAAGAACTTTGCTACACTGATTGTTGATACCCCCCTCCTCTTCAGAAAGCTCCTCAGCTGCCTCTCTATTGCTCAGCAAGAAGTTGCTGAAGTTCCTCTGTAGACAATTCCTCTGAGTGTTCCTCCACTAGTTCCTCAGCATCACCACTGTCTATCTGCAAGGCCAAGTCTGCTTAGTGACACTGTCATCAACCACAAGGTCAATTGAAGGCTCAGGCTCCTCTACACAGCCTTCAGAGTCTCTCTTATGTGTAATTTTAGGCCACACTTTCTTCCAGGCAGATCTCAGTGTCCTTAGAGAGACATTGGCCCAGGATTTGTTATTAATCACACACAAGAAAGACCAGCATTTGGGTTGTAACTGAAGACCCTAAGTTTTCAAGTAAGTTAAAGCTTATCTGGTTGTAAGTTAAAGCTAAAATTTTGGTTGTAACCCAAGTTGTTTGTATTTGAGGCTGGTCATAGCTCGAGGGTCCATGGTAGTCTTACTCCTATCTAAGGATTCTTTCATCACTAAATCAGCCGTGGGAATTCTATGCCCTAGGGTTTTATGGATTTTTGCCTAATAGTTGGGAAATATTATAATTGTTTTTAAATCTCTTAGGATAACATTATTTCTTCAAAGCTCAAAATGTTACAGTTGAATGGGCCAATAATAGCACAGCTTCTTGTGTACAGTAAGGAGAAAATTGCCATGGATACATACAATAGTAAGTAGTAAGCAACCATATTTTTTGAAGATTACGAAAAGTTGGGTTCATGGCAAGTCTATGCCAACAGAAGTGTAACACAGACCAAGGAAGGTGCCAGATCAATAGAAAAGTAATGCATCCAGGAAAAGGTAGCAGGAGCAACAGGAAAAGGGGGAAAAGAGGGCCGATAACTCAGGCTTTCAGAATTTAAAGACCACACACCTCTGCTTTTTGTAGCTCCCACTGAATCTCTCATGGAGCTTGTGCTCTGGCATGGGATATTGACAATCTCCTAGGCTTTCATTATTTTATTTTCTACCTCTCTTAGGATATTGGAAGCAGGAATGACTTTAACAGCAGGGTGCTGTTAAAGGGAAGGGAGTGACTCACCCAGCTCCTTTGTTTCTAACTGTACTAAAAGCATAAATATACAAAATCATTATTCATCCATTAAACAATACATTTATCACAATTTCCCATTTAGAGCTGAGTAAATTAAATGACTGCCTCAGAGAGCTAATCTACTCAGAGATTTCTCTAGTGTTTGGCTTCCTATCCTTAGTGTAGGATAAAAGGTACATTTAGGGTTAGGGATATGATTCCTAGAGAAGTTCAGAGCTAGTAACATGAACAGAGAGAATTAAATCTGAATCTCTGCATGCAAATTGTCTCATACTGGTAAATTTACTGGAAAAAACTATGATTTTTCTCTGGCAAAAATATTTTGGAACAGTCTTTCCCTCGTGTGGTTGCAGAAGCACCTGTATCAGAAGCTCCTAGAGACCTTATTAAAAATGTACTTTCCAAGGGCCGGGGATTTAGCTCAGTGGTTTTGCCACCTGCTGCGCAAGCGCAAGGACCTGAGTTTGATCCCCAGCACCAAAAAAAAAAAAAAATGCAGTTTCCTGGGCCCTCTAGGATTAAAGGTCTGATGCCAATATGTGCTTTCTCATCATATGCTGCAATCTCGGAGTCACAGTTTGCAATCTCAGACTCTCAGTGTGCTGTGGCTGAGCCTTATTAGTTCTAAATGTTGGGTTTGGTTTTCCTTCTCTCACTGATTTTAAATTAGTTTCACTTTCCAGTTTCCTTTTCCTTTCAAACAGGCAATTATTTAGAAACCCAGAGAATGCATCAGCTGGTACATTTGGCCTGGCCCCTATCCCCTCACTATATAGTCTCTTCAATATTTACTGCAAGCAGATCAGGAAGATTTCTGAAGAGCAAATCAGTCTGGTCTGCAGCTTTTTGGAACAGCTGAGAAGCAGACTGCAGCTATGAGGTTAGTGAAACAGGAATGCTTAACTGCTCTTGTTCTGGAATACACATTGTAAACTGAGCTTCTTACTATACGAAGAGGTTCCTGAATTACAGATTCAACATACTTGTATCCCTGGGGACTTTTATCAGTTGTTTGTTGATTTGGTTTTTTTCTTTCTGTGGTTTTTTCCTGGTGTGCATGCTCAGGATCCTTAAGTTCCCAGAACTGCTCACTGGATGGAGTTGTTAGGTAGAATGAGGAGGAGGCTAGAAAGGAAGGGTTAGCTCCACATGGGCACAAAGTTTGTGATTCAAAGCTAGATCACTGTGTTATTTGAAATGACAAGCCAGAGATTTTTTTTTCTTGTGATTTTTAGAAACATTTATTTTGGCAGACTGTTGAAGATGGAATCAGTATGGCACACTCAACTCATGTAGAACTGAAATGTTTGCTTTTTTCAAGGTTAGAAGTGTAAGAAACAATTTCAAGAGATGAGCATTTTAACTTTTATCTTTTATAAAAAAACAAAGTTTAAAATTTTTTTCACTGTGTTGACTCCTGTGAGCAGCAGAAAAAAATTGCTTCTCAAAAATATAACTATTTAAACTCTGATATAATACAGGTCTAATTTCTTAGTGATAGAACGCTGACCAGTGTTTGCCTAAAGATGGTGTGGATAAAGTAGCAAGACACAAAGTAATCTCTCTGAATGACAGGAATAGTCTATATGTTCACAAGGGTGTAAACATTTGTCAGGGCTTATCAAACTGTACCTTAAAATGGGTGTATTTTGTGGTATGTAAGTATAATCTCAGTAAACTTGATTTTTAAAAAAGCACATAGACCTGTTGAGAGTTCTGCATTGTACAGCCTCCAGGGAAACTAAGAGAAAAAAATAACTCTTTTCCCACAAAAGACCTATAGAGAAGAACTGAGGGGGTCAGTCGATTTCCTGGGGATCCTATTAGCTATGCACTGAGGGAGGTAATAAACACTAGCTGTCCCACTTTAGCCCCAAGAACTTGCATATGCTCTGCAAGGCCATGTTTGGGGATGGGATGAGTGAAAGAAATTCACTGTCAGGTGCGTCAGGTTACCTTTTCTACATAATGGGCTCCTGGACAAGAGTGATGGCAACTGTGTCTGTATGAGTAGGTTGAACAGAAAGCCAGACCCTACCCAGCACTTTGATAGGAAGCATTCACAAGAGGTTTTGCAATGTCTTCTGCTCAGGTGTGTCTAGAGCCTTTATCCCAGGAGGCCTGAGGGGGACCCTGTGGAATATGCTGGCCTGAAGCCCACATCAGGGTGTTCTGTAGGGCCAGAGCCAGGTTGCTCTTCTCTTCTCCAGCAGTGCCAAACATTACCAAAGGGGGAAATCACCAGACAACTGCCATCTGTGAGAGTCCTCCAGGCTCCCACTGAGAAAGCTGCTTTTACAATTTCTGTTATCAGAGTCCTAGGCCTGAATCATGGGGATTCCAACAGACCAGCTTCTGCCTCCTCCAGCCTCCCTGAGAGTCCAGTTAGAGACATGAGCACTGATGAAACAAGAAAGGTGTCTCTTAGTGTGACCACATGGGGGAGCAGGAAGACTAGCACCCTAAGACACAGTGTGTCTTGGTGGTGCTGACAGGACCTTTGGGTTTATATAGAGGAAGGAACAAAAACACAGGGCAAGAAGTATGCACAGTGAAGCAGCCTTGGTCAAGCTGTGATCTGGTTCATCATTAGGTCAGGTCTGGTTCTGCCAGGTTCTGCAGGGAAAATCATCATTGCTTGGGGGGCAATCTGGTTCCCAACCTGAGATGGTTTCTCCTATTTAGGAGGGCACTCTCAACATGGGTGATCTGCCTGGAAGACTCGCTGTTCCTGGAATCCTGAAAATATCTTAGCTGCTCTTATTTTGGTGTCTTCAGGCTTGATGAAGGATGAAAGAGGTTAAGTGAATTCAAGACTAATCAATCTTGTATTACCACTTTTTAGACAGACAGTCCTTAATGATTAACATGTCTATGTGCAGACCTTAGCAGGAATATGACCCAAAGTTTAAGGTACCAAAAAAGACAGATACAAAATGAAAGCAAAGGTTCCAAGCTTCTGTCCTACTTTTTACCAAGCAATACCTGTAGGTCCAAGTAAAGAGTCAGTGCTTTTAGCAAGGCAGCCTCCAAGTCCCTGTTATATTTGCTCAAATACTGTCTTCCATTGCTTGCTTAGAGATTAAATAGGGATTTGTCCATTTCAATCATAAAGCTGACTTACCCACCCATGCATTTTTATTTCTGTGGCACTTTCTGCTTGCCCAGGAGGAAGCCTAAGGACTGAGGCAAGTGGGAACCAGGAGTAGAGAAGAGACTGGAGTTTAATGAGAGTACCTACAGGGAAGCATGCTCTAAATTTTTCAGGCATAATCTTCTTAAGGCTAGCTCCTGGAGGAAACTAAACTAGGTCCAAGTCCTTTAGTTTCTTGTATTTGAGAAAGACTAAATCAGAGGCTTATGGATTTTGTTGAATTATTTTATTACATGATCACCTCTCAGCAAATATGTTAATGGTTAGTTCAGCAATGCAAAAAATCCATGTCATGATGAAGTCACACTGATCTTGAAGTTTTGCTTCTAAGTTTTGCTCTGGGTAATATATTTACCTGAGCCATCTTCTTACTGACATTCTAGAATTTCCTGTGAACTACAAATAGGGAGAATATGTAACATTCTCTCAAAATGTGGTTTTTAAATTAATTTTACTGGTACATTTTAGGTGTACAATACAATGACATTCATCATTGGAGATTTGTACCTTTACATAATATATCTTGATTCTTATTATTTCCCCATTCTCTTGCCCTACCTTCAACCCCTCCACCCCTCTCTATTTACAAAGATTTTGTTTCCATTTTTTCATTTTCTCATGTTAATTCCATTCCCTTCTTTCCTTTCTCCTACACCTCCCATTTCCCCTTCCCCTTTGCACATTTTTTCCTGTTTTACATTTATCTATTATACCTTTTAGTCCTTATTTTCACTTTCAGTTTCTCACACTAGATAAACTATTTGGTATTTACACATGTGTGTCCTATTTATTTCACTTAAGTGTATCCCCTCAATGTACATCCATTTAGCTATAAATATCTCTAATTTCTCATTCTTTGTGGCTGAGTAGTACTCCATTTTATTTTTTTTTAAAACATATTTTCTTTATCCAGTTATCCAGTCTCCAGTTGATGGGCAACTGGGCTATGTCCAAGTTTTAGCTATTACAAATTGTGCCTCTATGAACATGAGTGCACATGTATCACTATGGTATGATTCTTTTCATTCTTTTAGGAAGATACCCTGCAGGGGAATAGCTGGGTAAAATGGGGCCTCTAATCCTAGATTTCTGAGGTATCTCCATACTGATTTCCACAGTGGTTGCACCAGTCTGCACTCCCACCAACAATGGAGAAATGTTCCTCTTTCCCCACAGCCCTACCATCATTTCTTATTGGCTAATTTCATGATAGCAGCCATTCTTTCCGGGGTGAGGTGGAATCTCAGTGTTGTTTTCATTTGCATCTCTTGAATGACCAGTGATGTTGAACATTTTTTCATGTAGTTATTTGATATATCTACTTCTTTGTCTGAGAAATGTCTGTTCATTTCAGGTGCCAATTTTGGGATTGGATCTTTAAATTTGGGAGGTTTGATTTTTTTTTTTTTTTTAGTTCTTTATACATTGTAGACAGTAGACTTTTGTCTGAGGAACAGCTGGCAAAAATTTTTTCCCAAAAAGCCCCGGCGCTTTCCGGAGACTCGCGGAATGAATGGGAGGGTGTTTCTTTGGTGCGGTAGGGTTAGCGAATCTGGGCATCCGGAGCAGCGCTCACCTGAAGCCACAGGCTGCTGCAGCTAGAGGAAAAAGTGAGGAGAGAGTAGGCTAAAAATAGGAAAAGAACATGGAGGCAGATGTAATTGCAGATCTTCGAAGCAAGCTTAAAGAGGTTGAAAAAGAGCGATTAACAGCTGCACAGTATGGTTTACAACTGCTAGAGAGCCAGAATGAGCTGCAGAATCAATTGGATAAATATCGTAATGAAATGATGACTAGGACTGAGAATTATGAACAAGAAAAATATACTCTTCAGAGAGAGGTTGAACTCAAGAGTCGAATGTTAGAAAGTTTGAACTGTGAATGTGAAGCTATTAAACAACAGAAAGTGCAGCTGGAGCAATTAGAAGAGCAGTTGAGTAGAAGCCATGGACCAGAAATGAATGAACTAAAAAATAAGTTAGAAAAACTGAAAGTGGAGTTAGATGAAGCTAGGCTTAGTGAAAAGCAATTGAAGCGCAAAGCAGATCACCAGAAGGAACTCCTGGTGCATAAGTCAGAGGAAATACGGATAATGTCTGAGCGTGTACATGAAAGCATGTCTTCGGAGATGCTCAGATCGAGCTGACTGAAATGGAAAGTATGAAGACCACCCTCAAAGAAGAAGTTAATGAATTACAGTACAGACAAGAACAACTTGAAAGTCTTAGCAATAACTTAATGTGCCAGGTAGACCGGCTTAAAGAAGAGAAAGAAGAGCGGGAGAAAGAAGCAGTTTCTTACTATAATGCCTTAGAGAAAGCTCGTGTAGAAAATCAAGATCTTCAGGTGCAGCTGAATCAGACACTCCAGCAAGCCTTGGATCCCAAGAGCAAAGGCAACTCTTTGTTTGCAGAGGTGGAAGATCGAAGGGCAGCAATGGAACGCCAGCTTATAAGTATGAAAGTCAAGTATCAGTCACTAAAGAAGCAGAATGCATTTAATACAGAACAGATGCAAAGAATGAAGCTGCAGATTTCCACATTGCTACAGATGAAAGAATCTCAGACTGAATTTGAGCAGCAAGAATGGTTGTTTGCCATGTTGGAGCAGAAGAATGGTGAAATAAAACATCTTTTAGGTGAAATTAGAAATCTGGAGAAATTTAAGAATTTATATGAAAGTATGGAATCTAAGCCTTCCATGCCAGGCGATTCTGGTGTTCTAGA